TAAATCTATTGAGGCGACATGCATCTCAATATTTCACCGCTTAACAAGAAGGTCCAGGAGCAAGGCCCTGAATTGCAGTTCCAGACGATTAGCGCCACAAAACCAATTGAGGCAGGAGCATCTAAAGCTGTCAGAGCAGCTTACACACACCCACCTTTTGCAAACCTGCCATTTAAATCATTTACTGAGGCACACTTGCTCCAATTTTTCATAGAATACCTCAGAAGTAGCCACACAGGCTGCTAAAAGTTTCTAGGCCTGGGCTGGCGGTGCGTTGAGGTTAATAATAGAACCATCTCAGCAGGGCTTTGCAAACTTCTCCTCAAGTGGCACCAGAGTCTGGCCGTGGTGTCACATTGTAAAGGAACAAGGACACGCATTGCGCACACTGCAGTAAATACCTCAGCCAGCTCCTCGCCGTAATAAAAAGCTCCCCATGAATCTTTCATTATTTTCCCCTCCTAATAAACCTACTTAAACTCTTGACTTCTCCACCAGAAATCCTTGTGGTTTCATTAAGGAGCTCTCAGCTCCCCCTTTCTTCCCAAAGAAACGTTCGCGTAAAAGCGGCGCGGCCTACAGCAAAGTATCGTGTATCATATTTTTTTCTGTTCTGTTTCAGTGTTTCTGGGGAACTTTGGTTGGTGGTTTGTTTTTTTTAAGCATTATTTTTGGAGGATTTTGTTTGGTTGGGTTGATTTGTTTGTTTGTTTTTAGGATCCGTACTACAACTGCAAGAGTTTTGGTGCAGAGTTTCAGAGAAATTATCTGCTACACCGAGTATGGTCTTCCAGGAAATAAGAGTTTTATGATGGCCTTCCTTGAATTAACACTTCCATCTTCAGGTGCCCTGCCAACAGTGGTAAGATCAAAAGAATGTCACCTTACTCCCTGCCAAGACAGAATCTTTGGGAAGAGACCTGACCATCTGTGCTGCAGTGTTATGTCTGTCTGCGGGAGAAGGGGCACATGAAAGAAAAAAGCCTAAAGACTGAAGGATCCATTTAGGATACCTTCATCAAATCTATTGTTCAATAAATGGAAACAGGAAAAAAATATTTAGGATTTCCCAACTGTTACTGAAATTACACTGAAATTGTATTTACCACTACAATTGGTAAATATTGAAATATGTAATCCCAAAGCTTGTACCAGCCCAGTGAGAGATGAATTCTCACACCACTCTGGTCAAGTTAGGAAGCTCCAGCAATGGAGTTAAAACTGAAATCCTCCAAAACAGAAACAGTGAATTCTCAACAAGGAGTAAATGATGTATTTGAGTTAGTAGCAACACTCATTTTGGTTTTCATTTCTGTTGCCAAACTCTTGACTTTCAGACTTTCTGATTTTCCCAGCCAAAATTTTGTGTTATTTACATGAAAGCTTTAACATATGGTTTAAGAAAAAAAAAAAAGGTAAGATTTTCATTAGAGTAGTATACAGTTCAACTCATTTTAAGACATTTTAAATTTAGGACTAATTTATGACATCTCTAATTTCTGATGTGATGTTATTCCTGATATGCTGCCTGTTGGACGTAATTTTTATTTCACCAAAGCCTGTCACCTCACAGGTGATTTAATCCTCTTGAAATCACTGGAAACGTGTCCACTGGAAAGAAACAACCGTGCTTTTCAAGCACAGTTGGATGGACCTCGCACTGTGACCCAGACTTTCAAATTAAGACACATGGTTTCAGGGCAGGCATGCAGAACACTGGTGTTTAACCAAGCTGGGGACTTGGCTGTTAAGGAAAAATACTGCTCAGCATTTGCATCTTCTCCCAGAGTGACCGTGTCTACAGGCTAATAAACCTTTGGTGCCTTTGCACTGAGGGTGTGCACAGACTGAACTGTCACAGCGACGCTGAAAACACCAACAGCCTAAAAAGCTGATCCTTTTCACTGCACCCAGGCACTCTGTTGCCTTCATTTTCCATGTCTGAACAACCTCAGAACATAAGGAGAAAGCAAACCCACCTGAAGGCTGTCTTTGGAAGCTGTTTCCCAACTTTCCAGAGTTAAGTCTGTAATCAGGGGCGATGGGTGGGTGTAAGACTTCATGGTGTTGGGACTCTGAGTTCTCAGTTTCACAGAATACTCTGAGTTGGAAGGGACTCACAAGGATCATCAAGTCCAACTCTTAAGTAAAAGGCCCACACAGGGATCAAACCCACAACCTTGTTATCAGCACTGACCAACTGAGCTAATCTCAGGTTAGATTGACATGAAACAAAATGTCTTTACCATTAATACTCAGAGCCCTACTAGAGAATTCATTGTGACTGGAGCTTTTAGATTGTTTTTGAAACACGTTCAACACCCTCTAATCTTTTTATTCCACATGTATCAAATACAGTTATTAATTGAAGGATAGTTCAGTGTGTTTTCCAGATGTTGCTCAAGCTCCATTTACCTTCAGCCATAATTCAACACTGACTTTAACCTGCAAAATAAGGCCCTGTAACTCATCTCCTGCTTAGCTCAGAGCCAGACCTTTCTCCTGCTGTCAGTCTTGTATTTTGGAGCAGAACAGGACAGCTTACAGCTTTCTCAGCTGGTAGAATGATTCTGCAAATGTGCTTTTCTTACAGGCTGGAGCAAATCTGACACCAGTCTCCTTCAAGGAATAACGAGCTCTGCATATCTAACGCTGCTCTCACTGAATGACTGCCCTGGGAATTATCCGGAGGTTTTTTCCTCCTGCCCTCAATAACAGTGGAAATGTGCAGCTGAGTCATGGAGCAAGGTTGAACTCAATAATTAATATATAATCTACTCGCACAGAGATTGGATATTCCACTTCACTCGTGGTTCATTTCATTTTGGTTAAAGTGGTTTTAAATTTTATACATGTCCTAATGGAAAATTACAAGTGTCATCACTCCTAACATCCAATAAGATGCAGACGGTGACAATTCAACGTGGTATCTTCCTCACCTGGATGTACCTTTAACAATCTGTTTCCAACCTCTTGCTTGAATTCTTTATTAGTCTTCCAAAATACATCATTTTTCTGCAACCATTCTCTGCATATTGCTTCAGGACTATTTTTTTGCCTGATTATTTTCTGTTACTGGACCAAAAAGTTTTATTCACTTCCATGTAATGTATCACATGTTTCTTCCCCAGATCAAAGTTTAAACTGACCAGTTTAATCTCATTTTCTTTAGACTCTAATGCCTTACAGCCAATGCCTTCCTTCAACATACACGGACTGTTAATAATCCCGGATATCAAGGTGTCAATTTAAAAACCTCATTGGCTGATATTAATTTTAAAAGCGAATCCATTTCTGGCTTTCCATCTTGTCTCATCCTTCTTTTTCTTTTATCTATTTTATCTTTCCTATTTTCCACATTCCAGACAGACTTTGCATTCATGGTATCAGGTCTGTAAGCATTTTGGAGTGTTTTCTTTCCCATATGCCTGTACTATGCTTTGCATAGCACTTGTTATGGATGCATGATCACAGACTATTTCTAGCATTAATTAAGATATGAAATTATAGTGGGAAGTATGTTATTGGTCACATAATACAAACAATACAAATTTGCTTTAAAAATGAAATTACTAAAGTGTTAGCAAACCTCTTCATACTGTCAGAAGTAATAATGTTTACAATCTACATGCCACAGTACAGTCAGAATTCACAAGTGGATTTGGAATATTATTTCCACTTCAGAAAGATATACATAAACCCCCTGAGCAGTTAATTTAGTTTAGATACTTATCCAGAGGAAAACAACAAAGGTTTGTCATTCCTACCTGTTATACCATCCAGCTGCTGCCCCCAGTTATCCCAGCCCCACAACCAGCACTTCCACTGCCTGGGTAGAGAACGGCTTTCCCTGAAATCCCATTAGGAATTTCAGCAGAAGAATCACATTTTCTTAAAAATGAAATGTTTCACAGGACCATAATGTTTTAGATGAACTTCTGACAAACATAAGCCTAGTTGCAAAACCAATTTGCCAGATTTCCTCCCAGAAAACCCAGACTCCCACATTTTGCTATTGTAAGGAAATGAGCCAACAGGGATTGTCCCAAATCTAATGGTATCCAAGATGAAGACATGTCTGGCATCTCATCATGCCAAAGTGATCTAGAGCTGACTCTTGCATCTTTTCAAAGCCCAAACCACAAGAGCAGCCTGTCAGTGAAGCTCCCACTGTCATCAACAATGTACACCATCAGCTCCTCCTTGTCTCCACAATCAGAACTACAAACCTCCCTGTCCCCACAGCAGAACAACACGCTCCCTATCTCCCTGCTACATTAAAAATACCTTTATCAAATGGCTCAGAAAAGGAGTCAAACCATTCTACGCATTTAGAATATTAATTTTTCATACAAACACATTTACTAAATGTTTTAAAATCGTTTACATGTGTACACTTTTGCTGAATGTGCACATCAGCATATTTAGTGTGCAGTCATCTCTCTGACCCCAGGGCTCTGCTGCTTTTCCCTCCACTTTGCTGCAAAAGCCACTCCTGAAATACCTCTGTAATGGTGGTGTTAATACAATTTGTGTAATGTAAAATAATAAGTAATAGCAATGAAATGCATGTTCCCTGGGACTCTGTGATAACTCCAGGTAAAAACAATGCCATAGACTGGGAATAGATTCATAAATAAATTTGCACTCAGAAGAGTGACTTGTTTACTTACTCACAATGGAAAACAACACATTATAAACCCCTGCATTAAAAAGAAATTATAATCACAACTTCACAATAAACAGTGAGGAATATCACCATGTACCTGCCTGGCACAAAATAAACCACCAGACAAAAGGTTCTGAGGGTGATTTGTCGAGGGCATACACTCTCTTAGGTCCCTCTTACTACACAAGGAGTTCAGTGTGCTCCAAACCAAGCTGACCTCCTTTAGAGGTCCAATCCTTTGTTAGCAAGGCTCTTTTTATTAGGGCAGCCTTTGTGAATCCTGTCTGCAGCCTCAGTGTGAGAGCATATTATCCACAATTTGGATACTCACTTGCTACGTTGAGATGAATAAAGGGACTTGTCTTGTTCTCCCCATTCTTTTCATTGACTGCCTGGACATAATAACCTCCTGCGTCGGTCACTGATGTTCCAAGGATCACCAGCTGATTCTCCAGTGTGATGGCTCTGTTTAGGACAGAGAAAGATCACATTAATACCAGAAGGATGTTATCCACCAGGCAAAAACCATACAACACTTCAGACTTGACAGACTGATATGATGTTCACTGGTCACCTAAATAAAAGATGCTGCGGAATCAAAACAAGCCTGATTTCAAACTCATTTACAGGAAAACAAGATCTTAGATGCCTCTAGGCCTTTTCTCTGTTTAGATCACATAATATGTTTATGGTGACACGCAGAAAGCTACAACACATGAAACTAGGACAGTTTAAAAGGCAATAAGAAGTTACAGAAGAAACAACAAATGACACCAGAGACCAACAGCCTGCAAACTGCCCCACTGTGGGCTGATGACAGTCCTGGCCAGCATCAGTTGCTGCTAAGGCAGTTTTATTGAAAACCTTCTCAACTAGTGAAAGGCAGAGTATTAAAGAGTGACACTCAGGGAATAACACAGTTCATTGAGAAAGGAAAGTAAAAATCAAAGGCAGCAGAACCACCAGAGGTAAACTTTGTGTATTTATGGCATTGCTAATTATCCCAACATCACAGACAAGAACATCAGTGAGTTAGAGCCTAATGGCTATAACAGAGATGATCTGTGTGTAGACAGGGAGGGAGGGAGGAATTTTAATTCAGCCTAAAGTAGTTAAGAAAGCACAACCCTGTAGTTAACTGGTGAGGGCACGAGGGAGTCAATAAAGGTCATTTTATAACACAAGTATATTCTTAGGGCTGCTACATAGCAAATGTCTCTAAACTCCCTCATAGGCAGAATTACCCACCTCGTTACTTTGTATTTCACATGTATGAGATGCTCTTTTTTTGTCTATAAAAGACGAAGGATTAACCTAGAGACAACATATAAAACTTTAAGGGTTTGACAGGGCAGGACACAGGAAGCTCAAAACCCAGGTAAGATAAAAGAAAATGTAAAGTTCCAGGGAAAGGCTGTGGAGCAAAGACGTGACATTACTGCAGCCTGAGACAGGCACAGCTTGAAAATCTGAGTGCAAGACTTGGAGGAAGGAACTCCCACCTTCACCTGTAATATTTGATGAGAAGCCACAGAGAGTTCAGCTGTGCCATTACACATATCATTGAGCATGAGGTTGAAACAACATATAAAATTATTATACTGGAAGAAACGAATTCACACATCAATAGGCCTCAAAAAGAGTCAGTGCTAAATCAAAGTATTTGTACACTACTCAGTCAGTAATAAACACCCCTTGTTTTCATCCTCCTGTTTTGGCATGGGGTGGTTGCCCTTAATAATAAACAAGTATTTTGCTTTGAAAAAGCAGCTAAAGCAACAGTGGAAATCACAAGTTCCTAGTGCAGCGTATTAGTTTTTATACGTAGGAGAGGCATAAAAAATTACAGTGAGAACACAGCTGAGTTCAAAGCCATGTATTTTATTCATTACACTTTGATTTTCTGATGTGAACACAAAGACCCCTGAACTTCTGGAAAGCTATCATGGAATCACAGAACCACTTAGGTTGGAAAAGAACTTTAAGATCATCAAGCCCAACCATTCCCTCAGCACTGCCACGGCCACCACTGACCCCTGTCCCCAAGTCCCCCAGGGATGGTGACTCCACCACTGCCCTGGGCAGCTGTACCAGGGCTTGACAACCCTTTCACTGAGGAAATTGTTCCTAATATCCAATCTAAACCTCCCTTGGTAAAACTCAAGGCCATTTCTTCTTGTTCTGTTCTTACTTAGAAGAACTTGACCCCCACCTGGCTCCACCCTCCTGTCAGGGAGTCACAGAGAGCAAAAAGGTCCCCCCTGAGCCTCCTTTTCTCCAGGCTGAGCCCCCCCAGCTCCCTCAGCTGCTCCTCATCACTTGTGCTCCAGATCCCAACACATTAAAAAATAAAGCTATATTTACAGCTCTCAAATCAGTCATTACACACCACCTAAAGATCCTGTTTACAGTATCTTTATTGACATTTTTTATTATAAAACCTACTAAAAAAAATCACAGTATGTTTTTTTATTTTATTCAATAAGCTAGTAGTAGTTTAATTGATTTAGAAAATTAATCAAAGAAACTATGATAGATTTACAGAGTGGGAATATAAAATACAGTTAATATGACACTTGATAGAACAAATAAAGATAAAATTCCAACGCAGTGCTAATAATTGAATATTACAAGACAATTACATTTACATTCATTTCTACTCTAGTTCTAAAGAGTAAAAAAAGCAGCATTAGGAAGATTCTTGGAAAACACTGAAATGTATTTCAGACTGCTTTGATGCCAGTTGAAGGTGCACCCAAAGTTTTAAAAGTGATCCTTGAATACTGTTGAGATGGATGCTGTTACTATCTGCATTGAATTGACTGGAAATTTTGACACTTAAACCATTAAACTCATTGTATAATAATCAAGTGCAAAGGAAATGAAAATGTATTTATTAAGAAAATTGTTGAAAATGAAGTGGGCCTTTTTCATTAAAATTTACTTACATTTCACTCCCAAATGTTACATCTTGCTCCCACTCCAATAAAAATTTGTGTATTATAAAGATTAATGAACACGAGTATACTTGAACCAAAAAAACAGTGCAGAAGGGATAAATATTATAAATTACTTGTTCAAAATACTGCAAAAAGTTTGATATTAATTTGTATAGAAAAAGGAGTTAGAAGATAATGCAACTACTGAAGACAACTCTTAGGGTTCATCAATTACACAGTCAAAGTTAAATTAAAAACCCAAAAATGAGTTATTGATATCTTAATAGCTCTGTGAAAAATGGAATGTTTCCATTTCATTAACCAAAGACAGGTATGGAGCCAGCCAGAGGCCCTCACAGGCTCTGGAATCTGGGAGTTTTATTTAGATCACGCTTGAGCCTCGTGCATCAGGAAAATCAATTAGTCACATTTTAAGGACTCATTAATTCCAATGTTTCCAAACCATCTGAAGCTTCCTGTCCTGCCCCTTACCAGGGTTGCAACAACTTTCTGTACAACAGCTGCACAGAGCTCCCGAAAATTGGCTTAACGTGTTCTCCCAGGTTTATTGTTTGTTTTCATTGTCTGATATAACTTCTAAATTCTGACAGCACTACTCTAATGTTCCAAGGAAAATCTGATTCCTGGCTGCTCAGTTTACCAGCATATTTGAGGAAGATGACTGCAGCAGATAGAGTGGACCTGTCAGTAATTCATACCCAGCACAGAATTCATGAAAAATATAAATATTGCTTTTTTAAAGCAATATCGAACTTAATCTAATACTTTCAAGACAGGAGCAACCAGCAAGCAAACTAAGCAGACTGATCCTTGGGGACTTCTTAAGTGCAGGAAAGAAGCATTTGAAATCACACGTTTTAACAGAAGAATTTTTAAGGTTTCTCTGGAGCTCAGCAGAAGCCCGTGGGGAACAGCAGCCAACACACAACCAGCAGCAGACACGGCTGCAGGTGGGAGGGGTTGGAACAGTGGATCCAGTGTTATCACGTCCAAAAGAAGCTCAGTGACACCTTCACCACAAAAGCAGACGGAGACTAAACCAGACTGACCTCAAAGGGAAGGCGAGTGGGGCCTTGGAAACCACGAGCTGTGCTCAGGAGATGCTGCCCAACCAAAGGCTCGGGGCTGATGGGATGGGAAAAGGCAGCAATGATGGAGACAAGTCATCACATACCCCATTCTTCTAAGTATCTGAACATGGAAACAACACCCCTGAGGTTCCCATCACTTCCATTCACTGCAGCCAGAATTTAGCCTGAACTGGATACCTGCTCTAGTGGAAGGAGTCCCTGCCCATGGCACAGGGGTTGGAACTGGATGATCTTTAAGGTGCCTTTAAACCCAAACCATTTTATGATTCTATACATTCTGGGATTTTTAATTGCTCCCTTCCAAATTGTCCAAAACTCTGATGCAAAGCTAAAGCTTATGGGAATTGTTAAAATCAACTGAACGCAAATCGGGCCTTTAGAAGTAAAGAGAATTTTCCAAAAGTGATACCATTATTATGGTCCTAAAGACAAAGGCTTTGGAGTTAAACTAATTTTTTTTTCCCTACAGTGAAAACTGCATCATTTATTAAATGCTGGAAATGAACCCTTCAGTATCTTAAAATAGGTGGATTTCAGTTTATAATGTTTCTTATGTGAAATACCAAAATCTACTCTACAAGTAATTCTCAAAAGTTAAATATTTGTTATGTTATTAGTCTACCAGATTACATGAAAAATAGATAATACTGGGTTATAAAAATATAAAATGAAAATCAGAGTAACCTGATTAGGCTTTCTCTCAGAAGGCTGCCATCTGCTCCTGAGCCAGCATGCAATATTTTAGTACAAAGACCTTCAGAAAGCCTCTTTTCCAATATTACCTCCAGCTAATACGATTATCAATCCCTCTATACGAGATATTTTTTTACTGGAGAGCCTCTGTTCCCCTTTAAAAACTTTTGTCCACACTACACAGCAAATACCGATCTATCTCCACAACCCAGACAACACACAGGAACAGTGACGTGAATAGAGAAGGGAGAGATTATGGAGCAGTAACAAAATAATTACTGAAAGACTCCCCCCATGGATTTCCCCTCTTGGAAAAGCACAGATATGCTGCAGTTAAACACACATCTGTTCAAGGGAAGCCCTGGCTCGGCGCAGGGCACGCATGGCTTACCCCAGTGAGCATCTCACCACCCTTGTGCCTCCCAGTGCTGAGGGGGGAATTATTAACCCAAATCATTTCAATGCATGTATTCCACAAACCACCCAGGACTGGGTCACAGAGAAAAATATCAGTGTATGTGCTACAGAGCAGCACGTTCACAGCAACGGAGCACCAGGACTTACGACTGGATGAGTTTCACAGAATATTACTCAGGTTCCAGGTATATTGTTACTGCAAATCAACCATCTATTAATAAAAACTTTATACTTACACAGGCACTGAATATTAAGTACAACTACACAAATTCATGCATTGAGTTTACAATTGAGGCAGTTCATA